CATAACAAGTTGAACAAGTTTTGCAACTTGTTCTTGATCCATTTGCTCAAAATTTTACCAAACATGTAATGAGATTCATAACTTGTGTAGTGAAATTTACCACTTGTTTAATGGGATTTACAACATTTTTTTCAAGAAATTTGCAATTTGTCTATTTGAAATTATTTTTAATCTATTCGCTCACAATTTTACTAAACATACAACATAAATAACAACTTGCTGAATAAAAGTGATAGTTCTCATAATGAGTTTTATAACTTGTTCTTAATCTATTTACAAACAAATTTTACTAAATATGTAATGAGATTCATAACTTACTTAGTAAAATTTACTATTTGGTTAATGGGATTTGTAACCTATTTTCAGAGAATTTGCAACTTGTTTACTTGAAACCATTTTTATTCCATTTACTTATAATTTTACTAAACATGTAATGTGAATAACAACTTGTGAAATGAAAGTGTCAGTTCTTGTAACGAGTTTTACAATTTGTTCTTAATCCATTTACACACAAATTTTATTAAGCATGTTAATGGGATTAACAACTTGCGTAGTGAAATTTATCACTTGTTTAATGAGATTTGCGACTTGTTTATTTAAAATCATTCTTAATCCGTTTTTAAACATACAGTTTTATTGAATATGTAACGTAAATAACAACTTGTGAAATAAAAATGATAATTTTTATAACGAGTTTTGCAATCTATTCTTAATCTATTTGCACACAATTTTTCAAAACATGTAATAAGATTCTGCAACAAACAATCATAAATCAAAATTTTAGTTATCTAACAATCAATTTTCATCAATATCCATGACAATAGAAACGCGCACACACTCTTCTTCTATTGACAACTTCACAAAATCTCTCCACTTCAAGGAATCCATTTCAGGATTTGGATTCACAAAATCTCTCCACTTCAAGGAATCGATTTCAGGATTGGGAGAAAATCATGGTGATAGAATGTATGATCATACAAGCAAAATTATCAGATTTGAAAAGGAACAGAGACATTTAAAAAAAAACAAGTGTCCTCAAGTTTTTGACTTGGTAAAGTCATTAATGTCGATATTGAGTGCCTCACCTAATAGCCTTTCAATTACATTGTCGAGTCCTTCCTGAAAAATGCCATGAAGAGCTACCCTCAGATATGAAGCAAGTGAATGGAAGTCCTTGACCGGCATGTTTATGTATTATTCTTCCGATCCTAAATATAAGACCCATTTTGTAGTGTAAATATGAAACCTTTTTATAGTTTAATATTACAAAGATAATCTGCTAGAAGGAACAGTAGACACAGGAATCTTCCAGTTTCTAGCTTTCTGCTTCGAACCATGATCATCATCATCACAACTATTATGCCATTTGGGCTTAAAGTTGCCCCATCACTGTTCTAAAAGGCCATAATCAGAATCTTTGAATCTATGCTTGATAACCTCCTCATTTATATTGATGATCTTTTAGTATTACAAAATGGGTCCTATATTTACACTACAAAATGAGTTCTATATTTAGAATCAGATGAGTACTATTTTAATTTTAATTTTTTACTGCTTATGTTATTACTATTTTAATTTTAATTTTTTTGCTGCTAAGTTACTGTTACTTTTACAGTATTCTCTTCTTGAATTGCCTTCAGAATTCGGGCTGTAAAGATGAAAATATGAAGAAAGATAGAGGTTAAGAACAACGCTGTCCAAGACCTCTGAAGAAATAGTCCAAGCATCTCTTCTTGACCTAACACCTTCGGAATTAGGTTTTTATTGCCATATCCCGCAATGTAATGTTGCCTTATGTTGTAATATAATCTAATTTGTGATGGCAACATCTTTATGGCCCTTTTGTTGCATGGTTTACTTCTGATGGCCACTATTGTATTATAGTTACAATATATGTAAGGAACAAAATATTATTAATGAAATGATTTCTTTTTTAAATAGTTCAATGCAAAATAATTGTCTTGTTGAGATAATCTCATACACTTCTAAAGGGAAAAGACCAAAAAGGAATGAAGGCGGAAAAGCCAAAAAAGAAAGAATAATTTATTCACGAATTTCATTTAAGCTTCCTAACCTTTCAATATTGTTACCAAGCTTTTATACAAAAGCCTATTGTTTGGGGTTATCAAAGTTCATGCGCAAAGCAACCTAAAAAATGTACACTCTGTGATTATCTATGCCAAATAAAAGCTCCAAGAACTTTATGAAATAGAATTACATTAAACAAGTGCTAATGATACAGCGAGTACTACCCTGCGTATCAAAAAAAAAAGATACAGCAAGTACCCTGCTTACATAGCAAATCAACCAAAACACTCCTTAACACACAGGTGCCGAAACGTTCATCCTAAACAACCGACAGAATATAATTATCATCCAAATACTTTACATTCAGCATCATAAATGACCTAAACAAGTGGCTATATCATTGTCTTGCCACAAACTATATTTAACATTCATAATTACAGCCTACTTCCACATCACAAATATATAGAGCCAAAACCAAAATCACAAGATTTTATCTTGGAAGATCAGATTTCCACCACCCTTTCTTGGTCATCTTCCTCATTTGTTTCCTTTATCTGCATATTGTCGAAGCAAATCCATAGTCACTTCCTTTGCTTCAACATTATGCATTATATCAGTAGAATTTGCCATCCAAGTTGACTTAATTTTTCCATCATCCACAACAACCTTGTGCCTCATATTATCCACAATAATAGAATCTGTCCTTCCTTCTTGTTTATGAATCTCATCATTTGACGTGCGATCCTAAAAAGTTTGAGGTTTGAGAATTACGAATCTCATTGTCTTGTTCATCATATGATAACAAGGAACACGAATTTAATTAGAAGACCCTAAAACAATTCAGTCAACTGATATTATTAAAGAATAGATAGCCATGAAGTGGTAGATTATTATGTTAAATTAAATACCAAGCAATTGATTGATGATTAATATTGCCTCGTAAATTCCTCAACTCAACACAATTCACCAGCAGCATATACTCATGTTTTTAATTTCAACTTTGACATTAACTCCAACATTGTCTAGAAAGAAAATAGAAAAGAGAGCACGAAGGGACAATTCAATGAAGGGAGTAGTTTTTTTAAGGGGAAAAAAAATCAGTGGAGTAAGGCATGGTAGATGAAAGAGCTTAGAGTTTGTCAAACCAATTGCTTTTGTAGAATAAGCCATCGATATTTGATTATTCAAGGAGTTGATGAAAGAGTTGCAGTAGACAGAGAAGATTCGATCAACTCTGGTTCGAGTGTTAGAGAACCAAACGAACAGAGCCGCAACAAGGATGCAAGAGGTGAGAGCGTGTTCGAGCTCGAATTCCTAAAGAACCACCCTGCATGCTGGTTGAAGACCTTCTCTTCGTCTTCCCGCTTGTCTCCTCCGATGTTGAACTCGAACCCTCTACTTAACTCCACATATGCTAGCCTAGCCCTGGAAGAGTCCAGTCATGGCTTACTGAGAAGCCACCTGTGGATAATCATCTGCCACCTCATCCAAAGTACACGATGTTATAACTTCCGTTTGTTTAAGGATGGATGGCTTTAACTGTGTAAAGGATAAAGATTTAATTAAAAAAATAGTTTAAGGACTTGATTTAAAATTAAATGAAACTATAAAGACCTGTATATATATATTTTTCCTTTTTTTATATTTATTCTTTGAAATTTAAATTTCAGACAACATTGGACGCAGCATTGGAATGTTTAGTAGTCAAACTAACCGGCAATGTCGATAGTTAAAGCGAAGATGGAACCACCTAAATAGGAGTTCACGGGATTGTAGTTAGATGAAGTGCCATGAAAGTGCAAGGAAACTAATTTCTCCTCCGGTCCTAAATATAAGACATCTTTTATAGTGTAATTTAGGACCAGAGAAGTATATATATTCTTTTATCCGCGGCTGAACGCAGTTTTCTAGCATTGTGTATAGCATATTCCGAATTTACCTTTTCAAACCATGAAGTTTAGATAAGTTGGCTGTTGACTTACTCATTAATACGATTCTCTCTCTTTTTTTTTTTTTTTGGTTATGAAAATAAGATTCTGATATTCTAAACCAATATTTGTTGATATTTAATGTCTTTTTTTGTCAAAAGATCTAGATTCAAATTTGATCGTGTTGAATCATTTCACAGTAGCAACTTATCTCAAAAAATTTAGATTCTTTTTTGAAAATATCCTTTCAATTCATTACAACATATTTAATTTTTTTTAAAATTAAAGTGCATCTAATACCCTGAAATATTTTATCAAATGCATCTAGCATTTTACCTTTAAGTATTTTTTAACACCTTAAAGTATTTTTTAATACAATTTTAACTTCGCAATTTATGGTGCTAGATGTGCGAAAAATTAATTTGAGATGTTGTGTGCATATAAAAAAAATACTCTAATGTGCTAAATGTATCAAAATGTAATTTAAGGTGTTGAACGCATATGAAAAGAATATCTTATGATGCTAATATATCAAAAAATACTTTTGATTGTTATACGTACGTAAAAAAAATACTTTGAAGTATTAGATATGCCTTAATTTTTTTTATATGGCTTTTTGATCGTGGCATATTGAAGTATTGTTTGGCCCAATTGAGGCATTTCATGTATTCACTCATACTTGGAGCTAAGACTTCATATTTAAGCGTTCGAAGCATCTTCTATATTTTTCTTACATGAAAGCCTCTTTTGCTTGAACCAACTCATTTAACACTGATAATTACATAACACATTTGGTGCTTTCTAGTGAGATCTGTCACTTCAACTTTCTCCAACCCTCGGGGTGAATCCCATGGACAAGTCAATTGAATGTCGGAAATAAAAACAATATCTGAAATTCGAGTTTATGAAAGGAACAAAAGAAGTAAAGGAACATGCAAATGTGCTGATTCTGATTCTCGCCCTTTATCATGTGAGCTTTTTTTGTGCACAAAAGCAGGACAAGAATCTGATACCGACCAACATCGAGATATTCGTTTAGCTTGTACTCTGCTTGTCCTCAACGCAACCCTATTTTATACTTTCTTATTTTGATTATAAATAACGGTAAGTTAGGAGCACAGAACACATCAAACAGAGTCATTGTACCTCTCCACCTTTACCTCTATAGCTATAGTCATAGAGGACGCTGTATCCTGAGATGAGGATAATATTATTACTAACACTTCTCTTGTCTGTTTTATGTGCTGAGGCAAGATCAAGTTCAGATTTGCCTCTACGATTCACTTCAGAACAGAGAGCTCTAAACCCCTCAAGTAGCAGCATCCAAAAACAGAGTGTCCATGGTAAGAGCTTTACAAACACAGCACACTATATATCATTTCAAGAAGTTGCAGATGTCCCATTATTCTATTTCTGCTTAATTTGGTTAAATTTTTTCTCTCTTAAAATATATATAGGGAGACCAGAGATAAGTGGAAGCCTATTAAAGGACAGCAAAGTTGAAGAAAAGCATCAAGGATCTTATGAAACAAGTAAAGCTCAGAGAGGAAAAGGAGCCAGTGGGGGTTCCGACGTCAATCATAGAGATCCTCGCTCTCAAAGTTCTCCTCCATTAATGTCATCTTGGACTTCAATATTGGCTCTTCATGGAAGCCTTGGTTTAGCCTTTCTCTTTTCTTTTTACTTCTTTTAAGGTGTTCTAGACAAGTTACATTTTAAAATCTATGTCTTCGTAGAGCTTTATTTTCTCATAAGTTTTTCTTTACAGTTGTGCCCACTAGAAATTAAGAATAGCTTATCTCAATTGATGCATGCTTTTTTTCAGACCACTGTACCTAACATCTCAAGTATATCGAATAAAAGATGTCTATGTTTATACATAAGCTGATAAAAATTTGGGATTAATCACAACAACAAAAAATTAAGAGGTTAAACTGAAACATGTTGCTAGGTAAGTAGGATTAGGGAGGTCAGTGAAGTCTGAATAGAATGGGAGAAAGTCTTCTAGTAGCTAAAGGCAGGCAAGCTCAGAAGAACAAGTGAGAGAATTCTATTACTAACTCAAATCTCACACACTTCTACACTTACTATTCTCACACATCTGTTCACTAGCATTCACTTATCTGCTGCTTCACTTGCACAAATAACACAAAAGCACCAAGCCTAATATATCGGCTTATATTAGCAAGCTGGCCAATATAGTAGTTGCCCCGAATGTTTCAACACTTATTTTCTTTCAAGACCTTGCTACCACTAATTTTTATGGCCAACAAAAGCAACTACAAGGTTTTCACCTTCAATTTCGCTGGACGACTAATTTAGAAACTAGTAGAAAGAAGTCAGAAGTCATTATCAATTCCTCAAACGCTATACTACAATTCCTGAAACACAATCATGTTCAGGCTCCAAAGCCATCGCCGCAGATAAAGGTCATATATAAGATACATAGCTTAGGCTGACAAATTGGCATTTGTTCAACAAATCTTACTCAAATGTGATCCAAAATTAGTAATGCTTTTGTTTGTGAAGTTCGTTTTAAAAGTGTACAGAACTACTATCCTTTGCAGAGGCATATAATTGTCTCTGTTAAAATGAAGTCTCAATAATGACATATGTAGACATAGTTTAACTAAAAGAAAGAAAAACACCACCTGAGAACATTTGGCGTTCTTGATGATTCAATTCCTCACTCAAATCTCATACAAGACTTCCTTGAACACCTTCATATGTTGAGGCTGTAGAGCTATTGCCACTGATAAGCCTCCATCGTTGTTTGAGCTTGGAAGTATAAAAGATAACCCCTCATAAGCTATCCCACCGGGTCCCATAAATATAGGTCTTCCCCATCCAAAATCAGCATCATGTATTGGAAGCCTAACCCAACTCGTGATTCCAAGATTTGGACATCTAAAAGTATGAGCTCCACGAACAAGAGCTTTGAGATCAGGTTGAAGCTCTAAATAGTCCAAAGCTGATCTCAAATAATCATTATCCATTCTTGAGAGCGCATTATGAATCCTGCTAGCAGCAAACCAAGTTGGTTTTGACATGAGATCACCAGCTATAGCCATAGGCGTGGCTGTAAAGATCACATTCCCAAAGTAACCTGGTGGAAGGGGTGGCTGCAATCTAGACCGTCCATCAGTTGCAATATACAATTTGGTCTCTTGATCATCAGGGAGTCCACGTGCCTTGCACGTGCTTCTCCAGACATGACCAGCAAGCATCTCATAGGAGCTATAGTTGACAGTGTTACCATCTTCTTTGGACTTAGCTTTGAGGGCAGCGACTTGGTCACGAGTCATCTTGAAGATGGAGACCGCTGCTGCATTGTTGTCTGAACCGGGTTTTGAGGGTTGAGGTGGGGACTTCATGGTAGGAGGGGGCTTGTATTCGATGTGCTCAAATACAGGCTGAGGCGGGTCACGGGCTCGGAGTAAAGTGCGATCAATGAAGGGTGGGAGGGTAAGGTCTAAGCCGCGAGCCATGTCTGACCATGTATTGATAAAGTGGAGCCCAGAGAACCCATCTGCTGCGTGGTGCTGCATCCCCACTCCAAGGGACACACCCCCGCATTTAAAGTACGTTACCTGCAAATAGACAAGTCCCAAAACTGGTTGGTGGCTGCTTGAACACACACATTATTGAAAGAATTAGCCTTTTTGTCCTAACGCGTCTCCTGTTTCCGTAAAAAGTTTGACTTTATAATCTCATATTTGAGTAAGACACTAAGACTTTAGGGTTTAGTGTCATTAGGCTACAGCCTATAAGACCCCAGTTATTATTGTAATGTTATGCTTTTAATGAAAGTATCAAAATGATCTAGGGATATGGAGAAAAGGCATATGAGGAAATATATTAATTAAAAAAATCATGTAAAGAACATTACAAAATTTAATTATTTTTTTACCAGAGAATACAAGTGATGTGAGATAGTTCAAATGTATCATAATTTTTTAACACCCAACATCTACTCTATGTCTCTATCTAGGAACGTGAAGCACGATGGTTTTTTTTTTTTTTTGATACGCCGGAAATGAGATGAAGCACGATGGATTATGCTTCATACTAAAGTGGTCGTCTCTTTATCAAATTATAAATTTTGTTTTCCCCCTTTGAGATCACATGAATCCTAAACAAAACTCCCTCCATTCAATCTTTCTTATTGTTTTGATTTTTTTTCTTTTAAAATTAGTCAATTAATTTTTATATTAAAGATAAAAGGTAGTATATCAGAAAGTGTATGAGAAAACATAATATGGAGCTCTGACGTATAAATTAATCATTTTAGACTTTCTTTTGTATTTGATTTGTGCATTTGAGTCAATATTTAAAAATTATCACAAGATTTGAATCAAAAACACTTAAAAATGTAAAATATAACTCAATATCTATAGGTCAATTTCTAAGAATTAATCTTGGCTAAAAAATTGACTGTTCATTCCAATTTTATTCGATGTCCCCAATTGGACAGTAGATCTCATCTATTAAATACCAAGTCACAAGTAAATAAATTGGGCTCGATTTTTTGAATACGAAAAATTGCAAATCATATACAAATAGTTTCTTATAATTTTAGAATTTGATATTATTGGATTTTTTAGTTTTAAATTTGTATAAATAAGTTTCACATCATTAATTATTATTTTATATAAACGTTGGTAATTAGATAAATTATTATAAGATCCCAACAAAAAAAGTAATCACAAAAAAAAAGGCTCAATGATAAATATGCAATATGCATTTTATTGTTAATTCATATACTGAAACTTTACTTGTTACAGTATTTGTTTAGTAATTATATTTTTTATTGAACACAAACTAATTTTCTCTAAAAAAATTATTATTTTACCAAAAATTGGGAAAAAATTATTTTACTAAAACACAACAGTACTATCTATATCTTTAATACAAGATCTAATTTATATTTTGAATTAATTTATATTTTGAATTATTCTTACAAATTAAATCTTATATCAAATACTCAAATAGGAAAGGTAATGTATCGCTTTCCTAAATTTTTGAAGCATTGATCTCGCGACTTTTTGAACGTCAGGCAAAAACTTTGACCGTTTGATTTTGCACCCCAAAATTTGATATTGGAATCACCGGCGAAAGCAGACATCAATCAACTTCTAACTTCCACCAACCTCATTATTACTTTTTTTATTTTTTGCCTGATTCTACCAACCTCATTAACATTATAAGGCTTTCCTGGATTTTACAGGAAATTTGAATTTTTTTTGGCCAAAGTAGGAAATTTGAATTGACTCCTACTATTTACATATAATAAAACTTCAATGAATACATAATGATTATTGATATCGTGCCCCCATTCTTGCTTTGCTTTCTGATTTTCTACCCTTATTTTTTTCAAACAATTTTTTCACCTAAATTATGAGTCACTTGTAAAATCATTATATAAATTAAAAAAATAGTGATATACTGATATATTCCATGAAAATATTATTTTTATTATTTTCTTGGATGAACAGTATCCTCAATTCCACAAAAACATGTACTTCCTCCGTCCCTCCATTCTTTAATTAAAGGTAAAATTTAACCAATTTTACAGTTATTAAAAAGCAGTAGTTCATATCCTTAAAATTATAGAAAAATGTGAGATTTTTTAATTTTATCATTCACTAAAATTAATGACCATAATAAAATAGTTTAGAATTTAAAATCGTGCCAAAAACTTATTGTAATTTAGGAGAAGTAAGGTTTGGAAGTTAAAAAAAAAAAATCAACTACCCCATCTTTGCCCTATAAGGGACAAAAAGGAGTATGTAAGAATTGTTTTTATTTTTTATTTTTGCCTTCAATTTAATTTCATACTAGTTTAAATTTTAATATATCTATTTAATACTTAAAATTAGAATAGTATATATATTTAGGGACAAAATAAAAAAACTAAATCAGAACAAATAAACAGAGAGACCGGCAGAGAGAGGAAGCACTGTTTTAAAATTTATAAATCCGATTAATTTTATAGTGGTTATATTAATAGCATAAGAGAATAACAATCTATATACGTCTCTATTCTCATGTATAAATTAATATATTAAATTGATAATTTTTTTCACATTTATCCCTATTAAAAAAATATTGAAAAAAATATGTTGTACATTTTTTTCTCACCCATTTTTTATTGTATTCAATAAAAATAAAATTTAAAAAAGTGTCTAATTACCCTATAAGTGATTTATATTTAAGAATAAAATTTTTTTCTGGCAAAAAAAGGAACAAACTTTCTTTTCCTACAAAAAAAAACTTATATATATAGGAAATAAACATATATGCGTACCACTCCGGCCCTTATATTAAATAAATTATTTATAACATATCCAATGATCATATTCTATTTTTTCTTTTATTTGATTCTTATTGAAAAGAGAGAAAGAAGAAAGAAGAAAGAAGAAAGATGAGAGAATAGTTTATAAATATAGAAATAAAATTTTAATAAGAGTAAGTTTGAAAAAATTTATTAATTTAAAGGATTTTCTTATATACCAGGATAATATTTAATTCTGTCTTCTGACTCATTAATTGAAGGAACATTTTGCGTGCTTTTTTAAGGGGAATGTCTCTCTGCAATAGAAATGGAAATAAGAAAACAAATTGTAGGGGCAGGACGGCAAATTGCCATTATTGGCCAATATAATCGGGCGCCTTTCAAATGCGCGCGCGCATTGATTTATCAGAAAATTCCTCTGAAATCCGAGGTCGCAACGCTCGTCGTTCAACAAGTGTATTTGTTTTTTTTAATTAATTCAATTACACAGCGAATCAGTCATTTTCTGGGTAGAAAAATCAATTATTAAAAAAAAAAAGGTTCTCCGTGATAAAAGAATAATACTAGCCAGGTTCTAATTACAAGATCGACTATAAATGAGATTTTATATTTATAAGATCTTGTTTGTAAATTATAAGTGAGATCTTATAAATGTCAAAGTTTGTTTAAAAATTCATCGAGAGCAACGCCTCCTTAATTTTGCGATTATTTTTAATTACGCGTAAAAAAAAATTTGCATTGAAAATATGTTCCTTTAATCATTAAAGACGAGTTGCAGATATGTAAGTTTTTTAGTAGCTTTGCATGATTGGTCTTGTAATGAAGTAATTTGATCAATTTGTCCTAAAATAATTTAAGATAAATTTGAGATTTTCTGTGGACTTAAGCATCTCAAACTTGTTCTTCGCCAAAATCAGAACGATAGTATAGTTGGAAGTTGGCAAACAGAAGCGTACCTGCAACACCAGCAATGGATATGTTTCGATGCCGCCAGAATAATCGACGGCGGGAATAAGCTGCCGGAGCTCAAGCGTGGGAGCGAAGTCACCGAAATCGTCAATCACGGCGGTGGTCTCAGCCTCAACGAGGAGCACACCCTCGCCGTTACAATCAATCTCAACACGACCATCCTCATCACGGCGGAGGCGGCCGGCCATCGGGTAGAACGGAACGAGAGCCTTGGCAAGAGCTTGCTTCATAACCTCAGCGTCAAAGAAGTTAGCAGCACCGGTGGGCCGGTAAAAGTAGACGCTGGGCGTATGGAAGTTAGGCACCACCAGGTCGACGTTGGAGTTCCATAACGCCCGGCGAGGCGTCTCCTGTGCCGGCCGCACCATGGTGGAGGCCTTGACGTTGATGATCATCGTGATTAGTGGGTCCCACTACAAAACAGGACAACAAATACGTGAGAAATTAATCCAACTCGCACAGTTCCATTTATTATGCTTGAAAATTAAATGCAAAACAAATAAATGAGCAAATGAGATCAAAATGTAGAAGAGAGAAACATCTGGCGAGAGAATTTCAGGGAATTAATAATAATAATAATTGATGATTGAAGAAGAAGGAAGCAATACCAGAAGGTGAGAGGAAGAGAAAGGAATTGGTTGGGGATTTGGTGGTGGAAGGGATGAAGGAGGGGGAGAATGAAATGAACGTGAAGGGGGGCCAATATATGAAGGGGGAACGAAAGGGTAAGAGTGGGGTCACTCACCTACCGCGCCAACTAGGGGGACCAATGAGAAGGCGACAAGTAAGAGGAGGTTGTGGCGGGGAGGGAAAGGAGAAAAAAGGAGTGCGATTAAGGTTCATAATAAAAATAAATAATAATAATAATAATAATCATGGAGGAGGTAAAAGGAAAGTTGGTGAGATGGTGACGTGGCTCCAAAAATTTTTTAAAAAAGAGTCGTGTCGTGCCAATAATAAGAGTCAGCGAAGTATTTGAAGTAGACCATCAGTACCGACCTACTGAATGGGCCATTTGGGTCTGGTGTGTATGACGCGGCCGGTGCTTCACAATTCTATACTATACTACTATATAATTATACTGCTCTTCTTTTTTAATTTAAAAGTTATTTAATTAATTTGAATAAATTAATAAAATTAATTAATTCTAATAAATATAATATCATCTTCCTAAAATATTTTTATGCAACATTAAATTATATACCAATTTATAAATTAGATAAATTAAACTTAAAAAATAATAAATATAATGAATTAAATGAATTAAGATGTTTTTATTAACTAGCTTTCATATTTAAGGCCAGATAGGCATGCTCCTTGCCCTATTTTATGGGAGTTTTATTTTACTTTGTGTATGTTATATGATATACTCTACCCTATTTTCATTCTAAGGTATTTTAGATATTTTCACATAAAAAAGAAAAGTTATTACTTGACTTTATTTGTCCAAAAACATCTCAGTATTCTAATAATTATGCTCCTATTTATTTTTGTTTTTTGCGAGAGACCACCATTAAAATTGTAGGATTAAAAAAATCATTTGATATTTTGACATGACACCTTATAAATAGACTAATATTATATTCTCTTATATTTAGAATATGAGAGAATATAATATTTAGTCCATTCTCTTTTTATTAAAAAAATTACCCTTAATATGATACTTCCTCCATAGTCTCTTTTTGTAAGAAAAATAACCTTACTCAAATCAATAAAGTAGTTTTGATTAATTTATTTTTTAATTTTTCCTTAAAAAATAATTATCATTTTCTTTTTTTATTTTATAGTGGGAAAAATATTTTATTCAGTGACTAGGGGCATTTCAAAAAATATATATAGTGATGATTCTCAAAATTTTGTAAACTTTCTTATATATAGAAACATCACACATAAAATTAGGAATGGAAGGAATATTATTAATTTATATTAAAGCGTGATCAAGTCAGCAAATTTTTTAATTTTTATATTAAAAAATCAGCTACATTAACAAAAACTATCTACATTTTATTTTTTATTATTTATACACAGTATAAGTTATCAAAATTTATTATATCACGTTATCTAAATTTTGAAATACCTAATTAGTTTTAGTTTTACAAAATAATTACTACTGTTATTGTAGAATTTAGATAAGTGATAATTATTTTTTACAATTCAAACATTTAAGTTCTGTAGATCACTCCCAATAATTTATAAAGGAAAATCTCATATATGTAGTTATCTAAAAGGATATTACATGAAAACTTGTATATTAATTTTTTTAATCTTCTTATTATTAATTTTGTTTTTTTCTAATTTAGTGTTATTTTCCTTCTTTATCATTAAAACTGCCTTAAACTAAATAATTTGTGCATTAAAAATTATACTAAAAATTATGTTGTTATTTTTTATGCCGAAACTTGAGACCTTTTTGAAGATTGTAGTATTTTGTTATCATAGTGATTATCCTTTAAAAAAAAAATGGATAAGATGGTGATGGGAAGTAAATGGTGACAAGGAGGAAACAAGCCACCAACTCCTTATCCCTCATCCACATCAGGTGCGGCCAGGCGCGTGGCCCCACCGTGTATCTCATGACGCATGCCTAGCGTGTCCCCAACTTTCTCTCATTCCGCGGTTGGTGAGTTCCTGTTCCTGTACCTTGATTATATTTATAATTGATTATTTTATTCTTTAATTCACATTAAGTCTCACTGCTTTATAAATAAATCTGGCATCTTTAATTGATGATTCTGTACATTGTTCACTTTTTATTTAAAAAATAAAATTGTTAATTAGCTTTTAAAATTCATGCTTTTAGATAGCCATGACCTTAGAAATTCATTTTATTTACAAAACAATCATAATGATTTAGGGCTTATTTAGAAAGTTTTAAAAACAGCTTTATAGTAATTTACCAAATATGAAGTAAGAATGCGTCAAAAGCATATTTCAGCTTATGTAAAAATACTTATAAATACTTAACAGGAACAAACACAAACGTGTCCTTAGCGATTAGATTATTATAAAATTTTATGAGATCTTACGTCTAGGGGTGTTTGGGAACATATAAAAATATTTTTAAAAAGCACTTTTCAGAAAAAACAAAACAAATTCATCTATATATTTAATTCATATACTATAAAAGTACTGTTAAAATTATGGTTTAATTCTCATCCAAATACTCTTTTAACTCAAAAAGTTAATTAAAAGAAAAGTGACAAATTCGACACATTATGCATCAAACACAAATTCAATGCGAGAACGCACTATCGCAATACAAGTTGAGAGGATATGATGTTTATGAGCCACCGCATGTTAGGGGGCCATCAATAATATTTTTAGTCAATTAGTCAATTGAGTTTAATTTGGACGAAATTATAATGCAAATTAATTTCAATTTAAGAAATCCTATTTAACATACCAGTTTAAGTAAACCAATTGGAGAAATGCACTCATGTACAAGTAATAATTAACATTAATTAAAAAATAGTATATACTAAATCACAAGATTTCTTTTAAACACTCCATTGAGTTGGCAATCACCGCCCATTTCATAACTTTTCTTCCTTTCTTTCTATTCTTTAACTTTTAATTGCAGCATCTTTGAAGCGTCGAGATTCAAGTAAGAAGAAGGTCAAATGTGGGGAAAAAAATGGTCTGCTTTTCTCTCCACAGCCTTTTGAAAAAGACAAGGAAGTATTCCAGAATTAGTCAAAACCCAAATCAGTTCCCCAAAATCACAAAATGCTAGACAAAATTCTAGAATTCGAGCGAAACGACCTAACTGCCCCTCACGTTGAAAAACTTCCACCTCCGTGGGTCGCCGGCAGTCAAAACTTCGGTGGCCGGAGAATTTTTAGTAAAAGGTTGTTAATTATAGAGATAAAAATTGCACTTTATGCTCTTTTTTCTTTTTTTTTTTAATGAAGAACTAAACGTAAGCATATGTTTGACGCGTAATATTGTCTTTTTAAAGGGAGAAAATCCAATCAAAATAGTCATATTGTTCTATTAAGATTATATATTGTTAAGTAATTTTTAACACTTATATATTATAGTCATTGTATTTTTTACCCATTTTATCTCCAAGTACAAAAAATGAAAAATAATGGATAATGGGAGACCGGTGAAAATAATTGCTGGCCCAAAAAAACGAAGTAAATTTGGACCCATCCAGTCACCCACCAAACAGCTACGCTGATACTGGTGCCACTCGTTATTGATTCTTAGGCTTCTTAGAGTTAAAAGCAGAAGAGATATAAATGCATAATTAATGTAAGGCGTTCGCGGCGGCTTTCCTACACCAACATGGTCAATAATTTTAGCGGAGATATGTTATATAGAAAAATTGCATACAAAATCTATTCACAAAAATTATTATCATTTACTTTTCAATTGTGACCAAAACCCATACTAATATTATAATTGGTTTTTATTTACAATTTTTTTATTTTTAAGGTTTTTTAGTGATTTTTTCTAATATACATATAGTAGTATTTTATACATTCTCTATCTCATATTATACTATTCTTCCCAGTCCTTAATATAAGATTTATTTAACTAATTTAATTAGATTAAAAAAGTTAAGTAAATCAATTAATTATAAGAAATGTGACGTGTTTTTCCTAAAACACCATAATTATCTTTTTTAATATCTTCCTCCCTCTTCTACTTGATTGTGGTTGAGAGAGTATCCATAGGATAATTTAGAGAAAATTAATAAATATGAGAAATAGGTATTATATTTAGAATTAAAACCAACTCAACAATTGAGTCTTATATTAAGGATCAGAGGAGTACCTCTCATCCTAGGATCTTATAATTAGGATGGGAGGTGGTATAATATAAATAACCGAATCTATTGTACGATCTAAATAACTGAATTGGTTGTTTGGGAGTTTATTGTACTCAAACCAATTTAGATTATAAATTTTTTAATACCACTTGCAACTGCAGTTGTTGAATCACAGTTAAAAAAGAAAAAGAAAAAAAGTCCACATCTTTAGAATGTGTTCATAATATATTAGTTTATTTCACCCAAAAAAAACATTAGTTTAGAATCTTTTTAATCTTAGTTCTCTACAGCCATTTCTTGATAAGAAAGCTCAAAATAAAGTCATAATTCTTAACTAGCTTTTCTAAAAACATTAATTTAATCTTAAAAGCTATAAGGGATAAATTGAGATATTGAAAAATAGTGTGTATTTAAATGTTTAGGGATATGAAAATACTATTGCCGGTCTTAATATAAAAATTCATTGATTTTTATTTTGGTCTTAAATACAAAATTTCAATTTATTTTATCTCCATATTTATTTATTTTTTTTCTAAAATATTCCTTGTAATAATGATAATTCTAACTAAAATACGTGATTAGTAAAAATATTTTTAAAAATAATATTTATTTTATTATAAATAACTACATAACTATTTTTTTAACCTACTAAAATTAATTAACTAGTTTCTATAGCGGGACAAGTGCAATAATGCATACGATTTTAGTTAGGAATGTGATGTTAGCGCTATGTCACCCGTAAAATGCCGCGAAAGTTATCCATACCGGCTCAGCGTGGGCTGAAAATTTTCAAGTCTAATGCGCCAGCTACTGCATCATGTTCTTTTTTTGTTGTCTACGTACGACTTGACCCGATCATCGTCTGTTAGACTATCATTACGGTATGCTCCACTGCCAAAATAACAGAGACACTTTATGACTCCAGCCACCCAGCCCCCCACAAGAATCTTTCTATGGGTAGGTATCTCTTTTCACATCGCGTATAGGCCATGAAAACACCAATATTATTACCATAATTTACCATAATTAATAATAAAATGGAGAGTTCGCCGGTAATTGGAGTTAGATCTAGTAAAAAAAACTAGTTTCTTATAATGTGCTGGCTGAAAGAGCTGTTTACATTTAGTATTTAATATTTTTTTTGAATAGAATTGATTCCAACAAAAAGATATTTATACTTTAGTGAGTCCAACCCAAAAAAACTAAACTATCAGGTGACATGTCCCTTAAAATTTATAAATCTTACTTATGATGTGAGACTTATTGATCTAGAAATCATGACAAAACGTGAAGATCTTGTTAATAAATAATTAATTAGAAAAAAGACAGAAAAATGCTATTTGAACTTCATAATCTCTAAATGGTTTGTTGAATTTGAGAAATCCCAATTTTGGTCTCAAGAGACCAAATTGAAATTACCATGTTAAAAGAAAAGACCAAACTATCCTTCATTTATTTATTGTTTTTAAAATACCAATGCCCCCACTAGCTGGCCGGTCACCGGAGCTTCGGCGGTGACAGGTCGACAATTGGTCATCGGAGCTCTGACGGTCGGAAATAATTTTTTTGAAAATTTTTACAACTTCAGTATAACAGTTAACAACATTTGTAACGCTATTAACAACTTCAGTATAACAATTAACAACAAGTTTTCTGGGAAATTCAACAAGCTCCGACGGTCAGAAATAATTTTTTTGAAAACTTTTACAAACTTTAGTATAATGGTTAACAACTTTTGTAACGCTATTAACAACTTCATATAGTAGTTAACAACAGGTTTTCTGGAAAATTCAACAAGCTCCGGGGGCCGGAAACAATTTTTTTGAAAATTTTTACAACTTTTGTATAACGGTTGACAACTTTTGTAAAGCTATTAACAACTTCAGTATAGCAGTTAACAACAAGTTTTCAGTAAAAATGCTACTTCTTGAATTTTTTAGAAAACTTGTTGTTAATTGCTATACTGAGGTTGTTAATAACATTACAAAAGTTGTTAACCGTTATACTGAAGTTGTAAAAATTTTCCAAAAAAAAGTAATTGCTAAAGTTGTAAAAATGCTTCTTCTTTTTTAATTTTAAGAAACATGTTGTTAAATGCTATACCGAAGTTGTTAATAAAGTTACGGAACTTGTTAACGGCATTATTGAAATTGTAAAATGCTACTTTTTGAATTTCTCGAAAAATTTGTTGTTAATAGCTTTACAAAAGTTGTTAACCATTATACCGATATTGTAAAAATTTTCAAAAAAATTATTTCTGGCCGCTGGAGCTCCGGTGACCAATTATTGAATTTTTCAAAAAATTTGTTGTTAATTGCTATACTGAAATTGTTAATAGCGTCATAAAAGTTGTTAACCGTTATATTGAAGTTGTAAAAATTTTCAAAAAAATTATTTCCGGCCACCGAAACTTGTTGAATTTTTTCAAAAAACCTGTTATTAACTGCTATGATGAAGTTGTTAATAGCGTCACAAAAGTTGTTAACCGTTATATTGAAGTTGTAAAAATTTTCAAAAAAATTGCTTCCGGCCACCAGGGTTTGTTGAATTTCCCAGAAAATCTGTTGTTAATTGCTATATTGAAGTTGTTAATATCATTAGAAAAGTTGTTAACTGTTATATTGAAGTTGTAAAAATCTTTTAAAAAATTGTTTCCGGCTGCCGGAACTTGTTGACTTTCTCAGAAAACCTGTTGTTAATTGCTATACTGAAATTGTTAATAGCGTTACAAATGTTGTTAACCGTTATACTGAAGTTGTAAAAATTTTCAAAAAAATTATTTCTGACCGTCGGAGCTCCGACAACCGGCCGGCCAGTTGGGGCTTTGGTATTTTAAAAACAATAAATAAATAAAGGGCAGTTTGGTTTTTTCTTTTAACATGATAATCCCAATTTGGTCTCTTGAGACCAAATTGGGATTTCTCAAATTCAGCAGACCATTTAGGAATTATGAAGTTCAAGTGGCATTTTTCTGTTTTTTTTCCCTAATTAATTAACAAATATCTTTTTTGAGTTGTGAATACTTACACTATCTGTAACCAACAACTTTATAGTCTAATAACATGAAAACTTTTACATGAGATTATGGGTTTAATTTTGTTAATAACTTCAAACTACTAACGTCCATCCCTTTCAACTCCAAAAAATAAAAAATCATGGTCTTTCAGAATTTATCCATGTAAACTTTGTATTAATAAAAAATGATTAAAACTTAAAACAATTGATATTGAATGTTGATTTAATTTTTTTTTTTGATCTGAGAATGTTGATTTAATTAATAATATATATATATTTATATATCTCATAAGAACATCTCAATTGGAATGCTATTATTTTGGGTAAAGATAGTTATTGATAAATAGTTATTTCAAGTGGTCATTTTAACTGCTAGTCAGCTCATCAGTCACAACCAGCTAGCTCTATCATTGCATGTGGATAGCACTGGGAAAACGGGCCGGCCCGGCCCTGCAGGGCCGGCCCGTCACGGGCTCGGGCCTAAACGGGCCGGCCCGTTTAAGCCCGATTCTCAGAAACATGCTGATTTTTCAAGCCCGGCCCGTGGAATAACGGGCTCGGGCTGGCCCGCGGGCTTTTAGCCCTTTTAACTACAAATTTAATTTTTTCATGTTTCTTGCATATTTAATTTCATGTTTCTTGCATATTTAATCAAAATAATAAAATTACTAATAAAAGATATAAATATCAATAAAATTATGTCACAAATAGAAACACCATCATATATAAACATTCAAAATATCCATCACATCGCAATAAAATCCGTTAAATAGACAAACTAAATGGAAGAGTGAAGACAAAGATAAACAACCAAATAAACATTAAGTTCACAATAAACAACTAAAACATAGAGTTCATGTCAAGCAACATCAGGCTTCAAGTGACAGTGGCAACTTCATTTTTTCGAAACTTCATCATCACTATCATCAATTGCAAGGATATTTGATTGTGCTTCACTATTAATCGGCTCTTCTTGACTTCTAAAAATATCAATGATTTCTTCTCCATCATCAATATCACATGCATTCTCTGCAACAAATAATAAACCACAATCATAGACAATTAAGCAATTAAAAGCATAAATAATTGTAATAGAATACTTATAAATTAGTGAATTACCTTTATATGCAAATCCATGCAACTAGTTACGAGCACAAATGAGAGCCTGAAGGTTTGTTGGAAGAATGGAACTTCTATACTTCGTAAGAACACGTGAACCAATACTAAAAGCCGATTCACTAGCTACAGTTGTGATTGGAATGCTCAAAATATCAGCTGCCATCCTTGAAAGATTTGGGAACCGAGTTTGATTGTTCTTCCACCAATTCAAGACATCCAAATCTTTCCAATTATCAGGCTTCAAAATTGGTTCTTCTAAATAAGTTTCCAATTCAGACTTGTCCATAGAAGAATGATCCATGATTGCATAGATATCTTGATAATCCTGCATTATCAAAATTGAATCAAATACAAGCTAAATAAAAAACAAATTTAATTGACAAATTTAAAACTTACATCAAATGCATCATCAAAAGAGGTGGTTGTTGTTGTTGAAGCACTTGAAGTGTGAGAAACATGATGAGTTGTAAGGGTTGAAGATCTACAAGTTGATGCACTTTCATACCCTTGTCTAGAAGATGATGTGATTGATGTCCCCATATTTGAATATTCATTGAAAATGACATCTAACTTGCTCTTGACATTGGCAATCTTCTCAGAAGAAGTGATAGGGTCAATCTTTGCATAACAATATTTGATGATATTAAACTTCCATCTTGGATCAAAAATCACAGCAAGTGCAAGAAGAATATTGTAATTTTGCCAATACTTGTCAAACTTTTCTTTCATTCTTCTGGACATCTCTCTAATCACATCATCAATGCTTTTCATGTTTGCATCAAGCAACATCTCAATTTTTGATATTTGCATAAAATAAGAGTTGGCAGTAGGATATGATGACCCAGAAATCAATCTTGTTATCTTTTCAAATGGCCTCAAGAAATTGCACATTGCCTCTGCTCTATTCCACTCGTCATTTATCAGATTAAAACATCTTGGGTAGTTTGAATCACACAAAGCAAAGTTTGCAAAAGCACGGCGATATTTAAGTGCACTCTCAAGCATTGCATAAGTAGAGTTCCATCTGGTGGGCACATCTAATCGTAGGCTCATTGCAGTGTCAATGCCACCTACTTGCTCAACACATTGCTTGAACTGAATCATTCTTGCATCAGATGCCTTCAGCCATTTAATACTCTCTCTAATCTTCCATAAAGCACTACTTGCTACTTTCAAACCTTCTTGAACTATTAAGTTAAGGATGTGGGCACAACATCTTATATGAAAAAATTCACCACCACAAATCAAATCAAAGTTTTCTTGCAAAAGCAGCTTCTCTTTTAGTAAGTCTTGCATGTTATCATTTGCAGATGCATTATCTAGAGTAATTGAGAATATTTTATTCTCAATCCCCCATTCTTTCAAACAATCATACACTTTTTTAGACAATTGCACCCCAGAATGTGGAGGCTCCATTCTACAAAATGAAAGTATCTTACTATTTAGTGTCCACTTTTCATCCACAAAATGAGCCGTCAAACATATATATCCTTCAGAAGTCACAGCAGTCCAACAATCAGAAGTCAAACATATTCTACCTATACTTTTCTGCAATTTCTGTTTCAAATTATTTTTTTGTTGGTGGAAGAACTTCATAACATCAGCCACAATCGTTTTTCTAGTCATGAGCCTCACATCAGGATTTAACATTCTAAGTAGTTCTCTAATCCTTCTATATTCAACAAATGAATAAGGAAGACCATGTTCAATTATGGCCATAGTCATAACCTCCCTAATACGATTATGATCAATTTTTCTAGACCTTATGTTGCCTTCACTGTCCATCATCATCAATCCAATATCATGAAATTTATCTAGACTTTTACAAGTCTTAACATGACGACTTAAATGTGAAGTGCCTTTATCCCCACCCGATGCATATAAACTTTGACAACCATTACACTTTGCCTTATTTATCCCATCAATCTCAACTCTAGTAAAATACTTCCAAACATCAGAGGTCAAAATCCTAGGCTTCTTTGGCTTTGATTCTTCGGTCACTTGAAGAGAAGATGATTTACCTTTGCCATCCGTAGCTAATGACGCATCATCAGTCCCTTGAGCCTTAGACATGATGCTGCCAGCCTGCCAACAATCAGCAAAAACTTAAATTTAAGATCGTCCTAATGTATACTAGCAGGCAATTAATAAATAAACATTAAACAGTAATCAATATCAGAAATCAGACACGATTTAGAGAGTCTAAAATTAGGTGGTCTAAGCTATAAAATCAGGAATGAAGTAAAGACTCACTGTCTAGAGATGCTGACGCTGCCACGCTGGTCACTGGTCGGTGGAGAGGTGGTACTGCACGCGACGGACTCACGAACAGGCAACAGCAACTCAGCAAGGGAGCTGATTGACCGGGGATGCACGCCTTGAGCTGATTGAGGTGGTATTGCAAACTCGTTGGTCGATGGGGGAACAGGGGAAGCAGACGGGGAACACGGCCACACGGGAAGCAGAGGGGGAACACGGCGACGACGACGGTGAGTGGGTGACTGCCGTCTGCCAACAATCTGCGTGACTAAGAGGTGAGGCCGAGAGAGATGATGACTAGGCGACGGGAGTGAGGGTGACTGCCGACGCCGACGGTGGTCTGTAAATCTGTCTCTGTGGGGATCTGGGACTAGGAGTCGGAGTCGAGACAGATTGGAAGTTTGGAACTGGGACTCTGGGAGACGAAGAGTAGGAGACCGAGAGAGACGAAGACGGACGATTCGAACTCGAAGAGTGAGTGCTACTGTATCTGCTGAGCGACGGTGACTCGTGAGTGCCAGAGTCTGCGTCTGCGGTCTGCGTGAGTCGTGACGGCTGAGAGTGAGACGTGGGTGGCCGAAAGACGAAAGTGCGAAACTGGATCTGGAACTCGGGAAGGAAGGAAGACTCTGTTCGGTGAGGTCAAGAGAAGGGAAGGGTAAGCCGGTTAGAAAGGGAGTTAGCCGGTTAGGGACTTAGGGAGTTAGGGAGTTAGGGTTTTCTAAAAAAAAAAAAAAAATTTAGCGGGCTTAAACGGGCCGGCCCGTGGCCCTGCAGGGCCAGCCCGTTTAATTATAGGCCCTACAGGGCTGGCCCTTTTAAGCCCAATTTACTTTGGAAGCTTCAAATTACAAGCCCGGCCCTTGATTTAATCGGGCTTAAACGGGCTAGCCCGACGGGCTCGGCCCGTTTTCCCGGCTCTACATGTGGAAGGCGGAAAAAAATTATGATATTTTGGTTACCCGCACGCGCTTGAAAAAAAGCGGGTGAGAAAAATGAAGAAGAAGCAAATATTGAAGCCCATCAAATCAAGTGATTGAATTGACAAGTCATTTCTCACATGCAATATCAATATCAATTTTAATTATATATACACGAAAGCAAAAGGCTAATGGTATGCTGGTAAAAAAAAAAAAAAAAAGCTAATGGTGTGATGTTAATTATGATTTAAGTCACTACTTTGTATATTTACATAATCCTAACAATTTTATTCTAACTCTGTGTTAATTTCTTCTTTATCTATTGTTACTGACACGTTTTATTAGAAAAATTGTTGAAAATTTTTCCATTGAAAGATTTATTGTCCAAAGATATCTAAAATCTGTATGAGGACTTAAGTGTAATTTAGGTTCAAACAGTGCAAATTTTTTATGCAGCTTATTTTTATCATCTACAAAACACATGGCATTTGCACATAACATAATTTTAACTATTACCTCCATTTCCTTAATATAAGTGTTACTTGAATAATTTGAGTAGATTAAAAAAATCAGTTAAGTTAGTTATTTGTAATAAATAAGTATTGTTTTTCTTAAAGTATCCTTACTAATCAAGTGTATTGGCTAGAACTATTATTATTATAGTGACTATCTTAATAAATAAATAAATATAAGAAAAAAATATATTAGGGTCTTATATTTAAAACTAAAATAAAAACTAAATAAACTTTTATATTAAATATTGGAGGTAGTAATTTTTTAACAATTTGTTTGAAGACATTTTTAACAGTAACTTTTTAAGTATTTTTTTAAGAATTTGTTTGAAGACATTTTTATTTTATTTTATTTTTTTGGAATGCAAGAGGCAAGAAAACTTGACTTACAGCAAAGGACTAAAGCCTAAAAAACAAAGGAAAAACGAAACAAAAGCAGAAAAAACACTAAAAACAAAACTAAAGATGGTCATTGGCTAAGAGCTCAAGACAATCAGGAGGAGGGTCTTGAAGCATTGTTGTAACGAAACTTGACTGGTGGGCCTTTTTGGCAATAAGGTCAGCGCATTTTAACGCTTCTCTGTGTGAGAAAGTATTCTCAAGATCCTAATTTGAGAAAATCAGCGACCTCACTTCGTCGATCACATCATGTGCTGGGTGGAAGCTCCCACTATCATTCATCAAGAGTTGAAAAGCTTGTACAGAGTCTGTAAAAAGTTGGACTTTCTTTAATCCCAATTGTTTGGCAACTCAGAGACCTATACAAATGGCTTGTAGTTCCGCAGTTGTGGATGGAAGAAAACCTAGATTTTGTTGGAATCCACACACCCAACTACCCTGATCGTTCCTAATGACTCCCCCACATGCTGCATTTCTCCTGCTATCTACCGAACCATCAACATCTATTCAGACATATCCCTCCTTCGGTCTCGTCCACTTGCAGTCTTCCCTCTCAGGCACTTGGTATATTTTATGTTTATACCTGCTGTTTGTCGTCTCCTCCATAAAGTAGTGGACGCCTTTGTTGACTACTTCCCTTGCTTGGTCATAAGTTCCTTCTAGGGCCTTCCTACATCTGTTCTTCCAAATGAGCCAACAGATGCTTCCAAAGATTTTAAGCCACGACCATCGAGCGAATCTTCTTGTACTCAGATTGTTTTTACTGTTCCATCTGAGCCACCCTTGTAAATCAGTTGAAAAGAACATAGAGACAAACATTGGGTCAATAAAATAAAGCCACACTCTCTTAGCTTCCTCACAGTCACGAAGTGTATGGATAATAGATTCCTCTTGTTGACACTCGAACGGGCAGTAGGGACTCTCGCTCACTCCTCTCTTGTATTTAAGAGCATTGGTAGGTATTCGCTCATGGAAAACTTACCATATAAATACTTTTGCTCTTTTAGAGATAGGCCAATGCCAGATACGGTGCCAGTGTGCTTCGTTATGATTCTGTTGCTTTTCGAACATCATTTTATAGGCTGACTTGACACTGAAATTCCCATCAGGGGAGCTCCTCCAATAGAACCTGTCATTTTCTATCCCGTTTGGGGGCTTCACCAGTTTAATTTTATTCACCACCCAAGTTGGTAGGAAGTTTCTTCATTTCGTGATATCCCAGTCACCACTTGTTGTTACAAAACTCTTCACGTTATCTTCGGGGTTAATCATGTGCATGTTTTTCTCAACATATTGGATGAGGGGCAGGTTTAAAGGGCACCACCGTTCTCCCTAGGCACTTATGGAAATTCCATTATTGAGTTTACTCCCCACACCCTTGCAAAAAGAATCCCAAACTTTCACAATACTACTCCAGACCGCTGACTAGTCTCTTTTTTTCTCAACCTTTGGGAACTTCTCGGCACCACAATCATACTTGCATTTGAGGCATTTAACCCATAGAGCTTCCATTTTAGTCAACAATCCCCAGCAAAGTTTCATTATGAAAGCGGTGTTCTGGTAAACCATGTCCTTGACTCCTAGACCCCCATTCTCCTTTCCTTTCTTGATTGTCTCCCAAGCTATCATATGCATAAGTTTGTTGTTTTGATTCTGGTTCCAGAAAAAATCTCTATTGATCTTATCAATTTCTTGGAGGACACCTTTTGGTAAAAGGGTAGTTTGCATTTGGTAAGCTGGTATACTAGATAGAACTGACTTTATCAGTACCGTCCTCCCTGCCACACTTAAGAAATTCCCCTTCCACCCAGCAAGCTTCTTGTGGATCTTGTGAATGATAGGGGCATAATGAGATTTTTCCACTCTTTTGTGTAACAAGGGGACTCCAAGGTATTTACCCAGATCTGCACATAAGGAGATCCCAAGCATCCGACTATACTCTTGGGCTCTGTTAAAGTGCACATTACGGGAGAAGAAGCTCTTTGTTTTTTGTAGATTAATTTTGTGTCCTGAAACTCCACAAAAAAATTGCATGACTCTTCTAATCTCCTCCATCTGAGCTGAAGAGGCTTCGCTAAATAAGACTAAGTCATCAGCAAAGAAGAGATCAGATAAGGCTGGTCCCCGAGTACTCAACTTCAATGGTTTCCACCTTCTTTGTTCAACTTCATGGGCTATAATCTGGCTGAGACACTCCATACACAACACAAAGAGATAGGGACTTAGGGGATCCCCTTGTCGAACCCCTCTTGACGGATAAAACTCAGTAGAGGGATTTCCATTCCAAAGAACTCTCATAGAAGCTGTAGAGACACATTTCATAATGATGTTTACAAACTCATTTGAAAGTCCCAGAGAGCTCAAAGTATTCTCCACAAAGTGCCAATCTAATCTATCGTAGGCTTTTTCCATATCCACTTTAATAGCAACATATCCTTTGCCCGACCTTTTGGATCTCATTGTATGTATGGCTTCTTGGGCAATAATTATATTATCACAGCTTTGCCTTCCCTGAATAAAACTGCACTGGTTCGGTTTAACCAGATGTCCTATAACTCCTTTTAGTCTGTTTGCCAAAAGTTTTGTGATGATCTTAAAACAAACGTTGCATAGAGAGATAGGCTGCAGCTCCTTGAGTGTTGTTGGGTGATCCACCTTAGGTATGAGGACAATGTTTGTTTGATTAATGTTTTTAATGCTATCCGAATTCCTGAAAGCATTATAGATCAAGCTACAGACTTTGTCCTCTATCAGCTCCCATTGGGTTTGAAAGAAATGGGCTTGAAGACCATCCGGCCCCGGTGCTTTGAAAGCACCTGTTTCGAAAGCAGTATTCTTGATTTCAATGAAAGTAACCCCCCTCTGAATAAACTCCAATTGTGCAGTATTTAGCTGTGGAAACTCGACTGGCCAGCTTTGACATGCTGTTGCCAAAGTGTCCTTTGTATACAGG